AATCATCCCATTCAATCTAAAGTAATAGTGAAACTGGTAAAATTATATTTATATGACATATATTATATTATACTATATTAAATTATTTATTATTATATTATATTTTATTATTTAATATTATATTATTTTATTATATTATTTTATATTTTATTATATTAATTATATTAAGAGGGAATTTTTTTTATTAAAGTAAAGATGATCTAAAAAGTAAATTTACATATATTTAATAATAAATATTAAATATGTGTTTAAAAATTCTGCAGACTGTTGTAAAATATTAACTATATTTTATGCAATACTTAAATATTTTAATAAATGCATTAAGTTCCAAATCTTTGATTATTTATTGAGTATTTAATTATTCTTTAGTATTTACTTAAGATTATATAATGACTACATTTCCAAATGTTTATTAAAATGAACATTTTGTTAAAAATAAATCAACAAAATGAAGAACAGACCCCAGCAGTGATTTACTCCAGTATTATTGTGCTTTTTGCTTTTTTCTACTACTACGTCATGTATTTTTATATGTTCTGTTTAATGTAAACATCACAAATGCTTTTGCTTTACATATGTAACGCCAATAAAGCAATTTTGAATTTAATTATCTGGGATTTAATTATATACACAAATGTAAACAAAGCACATCTCAGAACCGCAGTCAGTCTGAATTAAACACACACCCAATTCATTTCATGTGAACATAATAATTGTCAGCAGCTCTACACACAGATCAGCACGCTGAGAGAACTGCAGTGATTTGATTTGCTCACTGTCATTTGTTTTCATATGTTCTGCTTAATGTAAACATCACAAATGCTTCAGCATCACACATGCAACGCCAACCAAGCTGTGTAGAGCTGCTGTGAACTGATTTATCAGTGATTTAATTCTAGACGCGAATGTAAACAAAGCACATCTCAGAACACACACACACACACACACACACACACACACACACACACACACACACACCTTCTTGATGTTGGTGTAGGTGTAGAAGTAGAGTTCTCTGCCGATATTGAAGCACACGCGCTCGGACTCCTCGCTCGGGTCCTCCGGCTTCAGCTTGACCATCGACACCCGTACTGGAGGCAGGAACCCCGGGGAGGAGTTGGCGGCGGCCCCGGGCCCCTGCACCAGCCCCCCCACACCGGCAGCGCCGCCCGGGATGGAGCCCGCGCCCGCCGTGACACCGGTCGGCCCCCGCGGCAGCCCGGCCCGCTGCTGGGAGTCGGAGAGGGTGAGCAGCTTGTAAAATCCCTCGCGGGTCCGGAACTGAGACTTAATCTCATTGATATCCTTCAGCGCGCCTCCATCCGCGGCCATCTTCAGTCCGCGCGCCGCACAGGAAGCGCCGAGCCCCTGACCTGGAAATAATGCGGGAAAACTACAAACAAGATGGAGGAGGATGCTGATGCTGATGCTGATGCTGAGGAGAGACGAGGATGATGATCTCTGCATCACATCTATCTAGCTTTATGGATACAGTCGGATAGACACAATTAAAAACAAAAGTATGTAAAATATATCCCTAAATAAGCAGTTTTCCTCATTTTGTGATTCAAGTTTTTATTTTTCCCAGTTTATTTCTGCTTCTGAGCTGCATTGTGGGATATTGATCTTTCCTCCAACAACTTTTAACCTCGGAAAGTTAGAAAAAGTGACTTTTATTGTCATGTGTACTAGTACTATTATGTAGCCTATTAGTGCTGAAAAATCCAGCTTAAACCAGCCTAGGCTGGTTGGCTGGTTTTAGAGAGGTTTTTGGCCATTTACAGCCTGGTTTGCTCTGGTCTGGCTGAAAATGACCAGCTAAATCCAGCTAAAACCAGCTGGTTTTAGCTGGTCATCTCCCAGCCTGGAAATAGAAATGGCCAAAACCCCTCTAAAACTAGCCTGGTTGACCAGCTAAAACCAGCCAACCAGCCTTGGCTGGTTTAAGCAGTTTTTTTCAGTAGGGTGTGCAGTGCTATATTGTGTGTGTGGGTGTATATTACGCTACTGCTACAGAAACCTCGTAATAAACAGCACATTTACTGCTATTTAACACACTTAATTCACATAACACACTTATTTCTCTGCATATTATTTCTTATATTCAGAGATGGCGAATGTACACTCCTCCTTTACTCGAGTAGAAGTACAGACACTCCTGTTTAAAATGACTCTGGGAAAAGCTGAAGAACTGACGGCACTTATCTGCTCAAGTAAAAGGAAAGAAGTACTGCTTTAAACATGTACTTAAGTAAAAAGTACCCAATACTACTACATGTTTTAGTTTCACTGGGTGGGTAAATGTCCGGTCTCCCCCCATGTGTCATCATCCTGACATCCTCACAGCGTTCATCATGTAGTTTTGTGGCTGTTGGATCAAAACAACAGCTCCCATTCATGATCACTTAAAATAATTCTGTAGGCCTGTCTATCTTTATAAATAATGTCTTACATTTTACTCTGAATTCTGTTTAAAATATATTGGATTCTTTACATTTTATATTTGATTTTTTTTATTGAATATTTTGAAAATATATGTTTTTTCAAGAGTTCACCCTCAGCTGATGGTTGATTATAAAGCCTGTTCATCATGCTGTCCCGGGAGAGAGACCTGAGCTCATGAGATCCTCGAGCCCGGGGCTCCCTCCCGTTTGCTGGGCGAGAGGGGAGTTTGAGCTGTGGTAGATGTTGAGACTCTCCTGCTGTAGTAGCTGATGAACAGATAGTGCCCTAGTAGCAAAGAATTCTGGCCCAGATTTGGCATAAAGCTGGGACATCAGGCATTCATCCAGCACTGGCATACAGCATGTGGGCCAACCATGGCCTGGGTTTGGCAGAGGTGGCACCGTCTATAATGCGGCACACAAGATTTGGGCCAGATGTAAAACGTAGTATTTGGCCCAGATTTTAAATTTGATTGTGGGCCACGTGAGTTTGGCCAGTCTTGACCCACATTTAAAATACATAAAAATATTTTTTGATTAAATAAATCAATTCTACCAATCACGTCACTTTGAGAAAAAACAAGGCCCATAGTGTGCCTAAAGCGCAACGCTTCATAGGTTTATTAATTTCATTGCAATCGTGACACACCAACCTTACTGGCCCAGTTCAGGCCCAGTTATGAGTTATTAACTTAGCTGAGACTTGGCCCAGATATGGTCCGTGTTTGGCCCTTGTCTGGAAGCCAGATTTATTCCAGTCATGTACCGTAATTCACTGCGGCATGTGGGCCAAGCAAAACCTGATTGTGTGGGCCAGAGCTGGGCCAGAGAAATTTTGGGTGATCGCTCTTAAGAGATAACTACTGACTAGCAGCATGTCTATGTGCTGATGTGGATTGATAAATAAACTTAAGCTGCATGTTTTTGGATGGTGGATGGAAACCGGGGAACCCGGGGAAACACACGTGAGCACGGGGAGAACGTGTAAACTCCACACAGAAACATCACCTGGCATGGTAAGGACTGGAACCAGTGATGTTCTTGCTGTGAGGCAACAGTGCTAACCACTGGGTCACCGTGCCGCCCATCTAGGAAAGCAGGAGGAGTAGAGGTGGAAGGGGGGATTCTTCAAAACCAAGATGGCTGTGATGTGGAGCTGAGGGTATTTATAGTGGCTCAGGAATCGTCTGATTGGTGAATCATACATTGAATAATGCGGGACCAGCTGTGATCAATCATAATCACGTGATCCTCTCCACATTAGTGTAGAAATAAACGTCACAAAGTACAGATATTAGTGTAAAAATGTAAGAAGTAAAAGTGAAAAGTTGTCAGGAAAATAAGTAGTGGAGTAAAGTACTGATACTTCCCATCTCTGCTTATCTTATTTCAAACCACTAAAATGTCAACATCCCATGATGCAATTCACCACCGAAAACAAACACAAAACACACTGAAGAAACGGATCATTACAGATATTATTTCTGCCGTGTATCTCCAGCGCTCTGGTACAGTTGGATAGACACAATTAAACAACCGTTTTCACCCTGCTTTGACTTTTAATTTGTCGAATACTTTAACGTGAAGCGAAGTTTAACAGAGCAAGCCAACTATACTAATCTATTGTACAGATACTGTTTATCTAGTTTTGTTTTTTCAACCATATTGTACAGTGTGTGTGTGTCTGTGTGTGTGTGTGTGGCTTTATTCCAGTGGACATACAGTATAATGGTCGATATTTACTGGTGTATATACTGTGCAGGTGAAGCAGTTCTACGCTTTCCATGTCAAACACAAACTGCTTTATTCAATAATTCAATAATTCAATAATTCAATAATTCACAACAGATTCTCCAAAACCAGACGGACATTCAGTTTCCAGTGATCTTCAGCAGATAATACACACACACACACACACACAGATATACAAATACACACATCCATACTCACATCAATTAAACACGCACACACTTTGAATACATGTACACACATAAACACTTCAGATGCACACACATATATACACACACCTCAGATATACAAACACATATTTCAGATATACACACACACACATACCCGAGATACACACCCCAGATACACACACACACACCTCAGATAAACACGCACATCTCAGCTACACACATCAGATAAACACACACACAAACACACACACACACACAAATCTCAGATAAACACACACAT